GTATCTGACCAAAATGGAAATCACACATAGACAAATATGCAAATAGAAGAATATAACATGTGGTAATGAGTTAAGTTAAGTTAATGCTACTGCATCTGACTGCTAAGCATATTTCTAGTATCACCTGCTTTACAACAGCACATACCCATTTCCAGACAATAATGAATAAATATGCCAGATTCTTTCCTATTTCTTTTAACTTGTAAAACTGCAAACCTAAATATTTGAATTTCTTCCATAAGCCTTCAGAAAGACAGAACTTTGATGTTTTAAAAGAGGAAAGATTATTTACTTTTGCTGCAGGCAAGAAATTATGATTTCTTTACTGATTCTGCCAAATGGCTCTATCACGCACTTTTTATTTTCATCAAAACAAGCCACTTTAAATTAAGGTTGTCCCAAAACTGCACACAGTAATCACCATTTTAAGGGTCAAATTCACTTGTCAAACCTCTGTTTGACTTCTCTGACCAAGAGAACTCCTCCAAAGCCCAAATGAACCACAGGGGAGGAAAGTTTTATTCTATTTCCCCATAGTTGGCAGTTGCTAGGAAGAATACTGGCTGCAGTTTTATTTTGTTCCTATAAGCAGACTAGAAAACTCAATATCCACATGGTTCTTAAACGAAATAAGCTGAACTCCAGTGGTTAAGACACTGAAGTCAAATGAGCTTCTCTGCAGAACAATGTGGACTGAAGACTTCAGGTTGAAGGAAGAGAGGATAGAAGAGAGAAGGTGAGGAGGAAGGCTGGAGAGTATGACGCTTCTAAAAGCAATATAACTGTTCTAAAGGAGGCAGCAAAAATCCTCTGCACTGGCACAATCCACAGAACACATGTTCTTATACTAGCACGCAAGATACTTCAAGATTAGAAGCCAAACTGTACTATAAAAGTATTTTTAAAAGACTCAGCTATTCGGTATTCAGTGTATCAGTAGAGCTTCTGGTTAGAGCTACACTTGAAGCCCATGAACACCGATGCAATCCAGACCATCATCCATTTAGAGACAATGGGTAACGCTGACAGCACAGGCTCTCATTAATCTTCATTTGTCCTATCACATCCTGTCATTCTTATGCAAATAGCATATTTGAGGATACATCTTTTCTGCACCCCATGATAAGGAGTAGTGAAGCTGTCAGGAGCACCAGGATGTCATTGTATATCACAGGCCATCCCTTCACTTATCACCCTGTGTTTTACACCATCACCAATGTGTTTGACAATCAAATTTGACCCAGCAGGAGGTAAAACTATCAGATACCACAGTAACAGGCATCTTGCTTCCTGTGCTGAAACATTCACCACGGTCCCTGGGGATCTGACAGTTTCTCTTCCTTAAGTGTACCCTGGCTAATGGAGATGAAATGCAGAGGAAAAAGGTGTCAGCATGGACAGGAAGCAACAGAAATTCACCTTCCTCGCCCAAGAACTAAGGCCAGCATTAGAAGTTTAGGAAAATACAGGTTTCACTGTAAGAGAGAAAAAGGACACACAGTCCTGTTGAGTTAATCTAGGTTTTCTCCTGTGGAGATCTGTTGGATTACAGTGAAAACCTCATCCATGCATATATGAAAAGATCGTTTAATGTCAAGCAAATCAAAATATACACAGTGCTCAAAATAATTTATGTGCGGTTTGAAGCAATGAGTGAGATTTCTTGTTAGGCCAACTGATACATGGGAAAATACCAGCAAGCTTTGAATTGCAAGCAGCTCCATGAAATTACTGTAAAATATTTCAGGCATGAAAAAAATCACTCTTGAGTGGAGAAATCATCAAAAGTTAGAAGTATTTTTCCTACTATTACTCATCAATTCTACCTCTACAGTAAATAGAAAACCAAGACTAAAAGGATAGTTTTACTATTCTTACTGACTCAGTGTTTTGTTTCTGTATCACTTTCCAAGAATGTTCAGAACATCTTGTTCCAGAGTACTTCCCCTCTAACAGAAATCACTCTTTCTGCATCATATGTAGGGTGAAATTGGTACATGCTGGTTTTGTTTTGTTATTTCAGTGGAAATTATCCCAAAGTACTTCCAACATAGCATGAATGGGATGCAGAGTAGCTATGTAGCCCCAAACATGGAACACAACATAAGTCTGGAATAATATTTCAATAAAATCATGACATCTTAGAGAAACTACCTTATTAATAGACTTTTGTAACAAGTCAAAACAAAATCACCATTAAACATAACTCTATAAAAGGATGATTCAAAATCTATTCACTACTCAAAAACAACAAAGTGTAGCGTTTGCAGGGATGACCATGTCCACACTAGGCATGGGGCAATACCCTTAAATGCAATATTTCCACGTGCTGTTTTCAAAGTAAGAAACACAAAATTGCCTTGTGCCTTTATACAGCATGTAAAGTTCACACATTAAAAATTACTGCATGGTCATGATACACCTACACAAATAGGACACTCATTTATTGTAATATACTACTGAAATAATATTTCCAATACACTGATTTAATACAAGTTTACATTTTCAAAGGCATTAGTGATTACTAAGCAAAATGTAAATCCATATGGAAAGGCTTCTAATTAACTGAAGTTCAAAACAAACACTTTCTGGTGTCCATCTTTTTTTTTCTTCTTCTTTTTCCAGGAAAGAAAAAGTGCATAGCCTGATGTAGCTTACCTGGTTTGCCTGAAGCATGATGTGAGTTACACCAACTCAAACATGATTGTCCAGTCCCTTTAAATCACAATTTAAACACTTTCTCCAGACTGGTGAAATTTTGCTCTGCTATTCTATAAGCAAATACTTTCTACAAAATTATCAGAACTTGTTTCTTTACATCTTCGCAGAAATCATTTTAAAAATATCTAAAATATCAATTTACAGTTTCTAGCTGATAACATTCCTATAATCACACAGATCACTATTCTGAGAAGCACTGTCTCCTGTTAGTCAGGATTAACTTGGGGTTAGAATACATCAGCCTAACACTGCCATCTCAACACAAGTGTGTTGTTAGTTCTATATTTCCTCTCTTCTAGCTTCTTACCATCGGAGTTAATACTCTATAGAGATATATATGTGTAATATTCTTCCTTTCAGCCATCACAGTGTCTACAAATCTCCCCTGTGGTAGTTAGCATAGTTCCCTATACACAGAGTATTCAGATGTTGCTGATAAATGCAAGAAAAAAAAAGTTGGAGTTGAAAGTGGGGTTTCCACAACATGCTGTCCTTTCCAGCTGCAAGTATTGGATCAGTGATGTTGCAGAACCCAGCTAATTTCTGTGTAAGCCCATCTCTCCTCTGACTGTGTCACCTATTCAGTGATGGGTTATCCCCCTATCATTTCCTGGCTCCAAGGCTGCCATTAGTTAAAATAAATGATTCCTGGAAAAGCAGATATACAAACAGATCTTTTCAGAATCAGTATCTCATCTCATCACTCCCAGAAAATTCAGATGCAGGGAAGATGCCAATTTTTTATCCTCCAGATTAAAATTAAAACTTCCAGGTACTAGGGCTGGATTTGCACCAGTGACAGAGATACAGTGCATATACATCTAGCAATTTCAGTTCTACAAGTTTTGTGTATTGCAGGGTGGCCCCTTTAACACACGCTAGTTTTGTCCCAGGTAAATGCCAGTATATCAGATAAAAATGAAAACACAAGCAAACAGCATTCACAAGGAAGGGAAGTCTAGGCAAAGGGAGAGTGACCAGAGAATTGAATGCCCAGGTGGTGACGGAGTGACCCAAACAATGAACTGACCCAAAAGGAAATTTCTGTTCAACCGATCAAAATGTTTCAAATTCAGCTTAATCCGATGCCAAAGATCATTACCAAAGAAAGCTGAAATCAATCTGACTAAAATTAAAATCTCTGGAAAATCTCAGTTTTGCACAAGTGTATTTTTCACTGATTTACCACTTCTTACTGAATACACTTTGCTAGTTCTACTTCGCCTTAGCAGACGCATAGATAATCCTTAAGGAAGCTGTAAGCAAGCCTTTATCGGGATGCTATCAGCTGGGGGGCTTCCGGCAGTTCAAAAGGGAAGAAGCTGTGTTATGCAGCCAAAATACAAGGGTTTTTTTCCTTCCTCAAGACTTCATGTGTATACTAATATTATTTTAAAAGCTTTCACCTCATATATATTTTTACATGAATGCTCCAAGACAAACAGAAAAACACTATTCCAGAAATATCTTAAAATATAAGAATTTGTTAATGTTGAAAATAAGAAAATATTTTAAGAAACCCTTCAAAAGACCAGGAAAAATAAATTTCATTAGCTTGTCATCAAATTCATGAATGTTGTGAAGGTGAAAAGCTGCAAAATAAAGAATCTTACCAACACCACAAAACATATCTTAAAGGAAATCACTTCAGACTGATCCGTCTACTGCACTTAGCTGTGAGAAGACACAGCAGTGGCAGACTTTTAAAGTGGATTTTCTGGAGGGCTGCTGGGTTTGTTTTGCATTTGGAGGCTTTCTGCTTTAAGTGTTACAACCATTCTGGTTTTACATACTTGTCTCTCCAGCAAGGCTGCTGCGAGACTTAAGGAGAAACCGTGCTGTCTGCAGCTGGAACCCCCACTGCTGGCAGCAGGCGAACAGCACCGAGGAGATATTTAATCTTTTGAAAGGAAGTAACTAATGAAACCAGCAGTCCAGCAAACTCTTGCATAAACAAACATAACAGAAGCAAAACCCACAAAAGCAGTTTGACAGAAATGTTGCTGCACAAGTTCAATGAGCTCAATTTAAGAATAATTTCTTCTAGGAAACAGACACTGGGGATATCACAAAACATTTTGTTTCTGTTAAAACATTTGTATGGGAAAAAAAATGCCAGGGATGTAAACCATTCCTTTGCCTTGCCACCATTTTCCAGCTTCTACCCTTATCATAAAACTATTAGACAACAATTTGCAGAGTAAACAAAGAGAACTGAAGTATTCCAGAATCAGGCCTTCTCAAGAGAACGGTACATTCAACACTGCATCTATTCGTACCTTGTCTATCATGTCCGGTCTGTTTGTAGCTGCCAAAATTGTCACGTCCTTCAGCTGCTCTATCCCATCCATTTCCGTCAACAGCTGGGCCAAGACACGGTCTGCTACATTTCCAGCACCTGAAGAGCTGATTAAAAAAAAAAAAAGTTACAGCATTTGTTTGTCCTTCCCAGAAATTTGGAGAAAGCAAAAAATATAGAATTCTATTCAATTTATAGGGATACACTTTTTTTAATGTTTAATTTAATTCTGATTTTTATTTTCAACTTCAATACCTGAATGTAAAATAGTTTCAGTCATATGAAGTTAGTAAATGCAAGTTGAAGAATTAGTCCTTCAAAAGATTGCTTGGTATTCAGAAACCAGATGAGGTTTGCTACTTACTAACCTACCACATAGGTTGTAAAGATTCTATAGAATGTGGATGTCTGGAATGAACATTTCTAAGATAACTAAATCCATCCAGATTCTTTTCTAGTCAGGCAAATTTTAATTTCCAGCATCCTGCAAATGAGTGCTTACACCATCCTGGATGAAAAATTACTTAGTTATGTATTTTGCAGAGCTGGTCTACATTTGTACGTTCTCTCCATCAAATGAATACAAATTCAGTGTGTACCAACTCCTTCATAATAGCATTGTCAGTCCTTTTGATTCTTCAGATGCCAGGAAAGAAAGACTGAGAAACAGAAAACTCCTGTTTGAAAGTGCCAATATGTGAAACACCTAAAGAGGCAAAACAAAGTATTTTCAGCATTTATTTATTTATTTATTTAGGCAATTAACCCTGGTAACATTGAAGTTTACAGAAAAAATTATTTAAATAGATGTAGCAAAATATATTACAAAAATAAACCAGTATATTAGTTAAACCTTCCAATATTTTAAAAAAGAATAAGTGATATACCACCTTCTTCCTAGGCATTTATAATGTATATATGTTCACATACATATACCCATATGTATACATCGTCACACATACTGTAAGAATGCAGAAGACACTACATAAATTAAACCAAGACCAAGCACCTGTGTTGCAATAAGTAATAAATGTCATCAACGGTTGTGTTCTTTACTCTATGACATCCTTTTAATTCTGTGTAAAGAGGCTTTATTTCGGAAAATATTATTAAAAAAATAGGTCAAATCATGTTTTACTTTTTCAAAGACGCTGTGCCTAGCAGATATAAGGACTGTACACAGACAACCATTCACTCATATACAGGGGCTGAAGTGAAGCAGTGGGAGCCCTGAGAGCCTGGCTGCTGGCCACTACCACCTCCGGCTGTGGGAAGGCCCCCAGCACCTGCTAAAATGCCATTTAAAATACAGCTTAAAGAAATAAACCTCTCTGGTTTGAGACTGCTGAAGACAGATTAGTTCTAAGCCACTGAGCACTGAGCTTTTCCAGCAGATGCAGGCAGGATGCCCCCATCCAGCTGTGGCACTTGGCAGCGGTGCGGCCATCCACCACCAAGGCAGCCAATGTGCTTCCTGAGAGCCCCGGAGCCAACGCAACATGCCACTGCCACCACTACATAGATTTCCTCCTTATAAGCTCTGTAGCTTTCCTGTTCTGCAACCGGTTCTGTAATTTACCAGAGCAAAATAGTTAACTGATCCGACCTACCCTGGAAAATATCTTTGAGGAGCTCTAATAAATGCTGGCTAAGAAAGTTTTTAGAGAAGGGACTTGGGTCAGCTCGTTGTCAGCTTTTTGGTTTGCTGCAGCCAAGCTAGAAACTCCCAAGGGGTATCAGAGCATGTCTAACACAGCCCTGGGTCACAGTCCCTTGCTTTCTAGAGGGCTGAGCTTGATAAAACACTTCAGGTGTTGCACAAGGATGGCAAATGCTTTTCAAAGGACACAGAACTGAAAGGAAATTAAAATCAACTTTGTAACATAAGCTGGTCTCAGGTGGGATTCGGGCCTCCCATCTCGCACTAGTTTCATATTCACTCAACTTTATACCCCATGGGCTGCATACAAGGAAAAGCTAAGCAAAGGGAAAAACATTAGGAGTGGGACCAAAATGTTAGTGTTATATGAGATGATCTGAACCCAGAAGGCACTGGGGGAGATGTCAAACTTTTTTTTTAAGGAAACAAAGAAGAAATACCTGTTTATAAAGAGAGGTGACTAGAACGGATATTACATCTTTCACCAGTATAAACATTTCTCTTACAAGTATCAGACTAAAAGAAAAAAAGGTTTCTAAGGAAAACTCCCACTGTTAGAGGTGAACGTATCCTGCAGTTTCACACAGTTGGGGCATAATGAGAAAATCACTGTTAAGCAGTCATGGATGGCATCCTGCTCCTCAAACAACAACAGAGGGGGGACACCAGCACATTAGTAGGAGCTCTGTTACTACCTGTTAGAAGTGGAATAATAAGATTTTAAAACCACACATGGAAAAAATATCAAAAATAATAGTACTATCAAATGAAGACATGTCTGGGATCTACGACACCAGAAGTTTTCAATTTTGGTGCTTTTGCTGACATAGCTCACTAAGCCATCATATGATGCACCATATTTAGCACAGAGTCTAGAGCAAATTAGCTTTTGGCTTCAGAGGATGCCCTATGAAATTCCCAGCAGGCATGTGTGATCTCTTTACAAGCCGCTCTGAATTGCACTGCACACCCCGAGAATGCTAGCACTGCCTAAGCTGTTAATCTGAAGGGTGACACGCAAGTATGCGTTTTTCCATTTTCCCATGATTTCCCAGCAAGGGTTTCAAATTAACACAGGCAACTTTCATTAAAGCTGCCTGGACTTTTGACGCAAACAGCAGTCGGAGAAACAAATTATGATTAACCCTCCAGTCCCATGCAGGCACTGCCAAAACCAACTTCCAGCCAAGAGACTGCCTTTGCCCCCCTCAACCTGACCTCTGTGGGTTGATGTCATCATTGCAACTGCATGAAAATCACTCTCCAAAGGCACGTAGTGGTACAAACTAATTTCCTGTCAACACGCCGCCTGCAAATCCCAGCGGTCGGAATTAGGAACCTTACATAATCCACACAGGGCCATGTGTGCACGGGTGCGTGCACACAAGAGCTGTGCTCCCACCAGAAATACCTTGAACTTCAAAATAAAAACGTGTGAGGAAAGAGCAGCCTGGCTGCTACACGTGGGCCTCAGAATTCTGAGTAATCTCTAATGGTGTTGTAATGAAATACATCAGTCTGTAAGCTACGTGCTATTTTAATCTTTTTGCCAATTCCTAAATCCTCGAAGTAGTTTTAAAGGGAGAAAAACATATCTGCTTTTACTGGTTTACCACATTAGGCAGATCCAGATACCCTCCCCCACGTGAAGTTTCAGCTGGTGCTGCAGAAGCCCCACCAGCCTTGGGCTGCATGCCCTTCCAACACCCTTCCCTTGACCAACAACAGAGAGGCTTCTCGAATTGCCAAGCCCACCAGGTAAAACTATCTATGGGGAATAAAAACCTGTTCGCAGTATTTTTTTCATGCTAAAGGCACTTCCAACGTGCATTCTGGCAGAAGAAAACACATTCTACAATGTACCAGTGCCTCACGATTAACCTGAATTAATTTTTACCTCATCTGCTGCATCTGAGAGACTGCTGCCCAGCCCCAAACTGAATTATGCAGGTGAGGGCCACCCATAACTCCCCCTCTCACCCAGTGCCCATTCTCACCACCTGGAGTCAGAGGCCAACAAGAACCGTCCTTTCCACATGAATGCTTGAAGCTGTTCTCACACTTCTTCCCATAAATGTAAGAGTAACTGCAATCTGATTCTACCATTGCACTAAGTACATAAAATTTACCAGCATTATATACCTCTTCACACCAAGGAGACTTTTCAGACACAATCAGATGTAAGTAATCAGCAGACTTAAATAGAATCATTAAGGTTGGAAAAGACTTCTATGATCATCTAGTCCTACCTTCTGCCCATCACCAATACTGCCTACTAAGCCATGTCCCTCAGCATCACATCTTCACGTTTCTTGATCACCTCCAGGGAGGGTGACTCCACTACCTCCCTGAGCAGCCTGTGCCACTGCATCACCACTCTTTCAGAGAAAAAATTTCTCCCAACCTCCAACCTGAACCTCCTCTGGTGCAACTTAAGGCCAATCCCTCTCATCCTATCATTGTTGCCTGGGATCAGAGACTGACTCACACTTTGTTACAACCTCCTTTCAGGCAGTTGTAGAGAGCCATAAGATCTCTCGTGAGCCTCCTCTTCTCCAGACTAAACAATCCCAGTTCCCTCAGCTGCTTCCCATAAGACCTGTGCTCCAGACCCTTCACAGCTTCACTGCCCTTCTCTGGACGTGTTCCAGGTCCTGTTACCTTTCTTGCTATAACTAGTTTGTTGACAGCAACAGCTTACTTGTTTTCTATGTTTTCACTTGTTTAGCTCTCCTTCCCCATCCACTCCCCATCTAGCAGGTTTGTTTCATATTTGAAAATTGAAGTCCAAGAAAGCAGTACTTATGATTTTACCTCATGATCAAATCTAGAAAGCAACCTCACTGCAATGATTTTAATAGTGATGCAAATATACATTTGCACAGGCGGAAAACTGAGAACACTCCCAAAGCCAAGGCAATGAATGTTTTTTCAGAACACCAGATGTTATTTCCATTGGAAAAAACTATTTAAATCCTGATCTTCAATTAAATCCTGTCAAGGAGAACCAGTGACTCTCCCTCTGCCACGGCCTTCAGTGGCAATGAAACCCATCAGAACATGTTAGCTACAGAATCAGGACCTTAATTTAGTTACAGTGATAAATGATAGACTTGAAAATGCAGGAACTGTTCACACACCAACATTCAGAGAGCTCTTAAATTCATAGGCAGGCCTGCAAAGTCGCAGGGGCAGGCCTCAGGGCAGGCACCCGGCTCAGTTACTGCCCAGGGATTCATCTCCACACAGCTGAAATCTGTAACGCAGATCTGGTGAGGAGGAGTACAGCCCACCTTTCTTTCCAAATCAGCACATCAGGCAAGATTCACCTACAGAGATAAAAGCTGCTTTTCTTATTATTCTCTCTAACAAAAGAATTGCAATGACAGCCAAAAGTTACGGGTTTTAAAAGTACTCATTGGACATGATATCATCTCAAATAACTCC